TCCACACTCCACACTCAAGCAACATGAGCAGCACCAACTGGACATAGTGGGAATGGTTTTTTTTTGGGGGGGGTTGCACGGTGTCTGTGGTGGTTTGAATGAATATCCTCATAGGCTTCAAGTATTTGAACACTTAATCCCCAGTTAGTAGCACTATTTTGTGAGGTTTAGGGGTTTTCAAGCCTTGCAGGAGGAAGCATGTTACAGGGGGTGGGGGTAGCATTGCCCACTTCCAGTTTCAGTGTTTCCTGTGTCTGCTTGAAGATGCCTCACCACCTTGATGGACATCCTTCTGGAACCATAAGCCAAATAAACTCTTCCTTCCATAAATTGCCTCAGTGTTTGTTAGAGCAACAGAATAGTAACCAATACAGTGGCACACATTTTTAATCTTAGCACTTGGATACATAAGCAGGTGGAGCTCTGTGCTTTCAAGGCCAGTCTAGTCTACACAGTGAGGACCATGCCGGCCAGAGCTAAATAGACCCTGTCTTAAAAGGTGGAGGGGTGAAATTTGGAAAGTGTTGTGTTGGGGGGCGGGGGCTAGGGAAGAGCTGAAAGGAGGAAGTTAGGAATGGATGTGATTAAGATACATTTTATACATGTATAGAATATTCAAAGAACAAAAAAGCAATTGAGAAACTTCAAAATAAGCATAAGTAATTAGATCTATCAATATAATCTTGAATATAGATTATGATCTTCAAAAAGAGATAGAGTTATACAGAATTACTTTCAGGAAGGAAGAGAAGGAAGGGAATTCAGGAAATAAGATTTTCTTTTTGAACAAGAAAAACAAAGAAACGAAAACTTCAAATTTTTAAAAAGCAATGGAAATCAACCCAAGAGAAATTATTTTTGTAATAAAGCTATGGGAAAACATAAGGCTATGGCAACAGTTTAAAATAATTATTATTTTCCAATAAAGTGAATTTTCTTTTTGGCTAGAAAAAAAGGAATGGAAATCAACACTATGAAGCAGAAGCAGAAGAAAAGAACATAAAGGACAGATGACAAGGCTGAAGAAATACATTTAAACATCGATAAGAAAAAAGAACTTTCTTGAAAGATTCCAGTAACATAGGAATTCATTTCCAAAAATGACAAGTAAAATTCTATGAAATTAAAAAGCTTCTGCACAGTAGAGGATACTGTTTTGTAAAGTCATTAGAGTGAAGACTAAAGAATGGGGAAAAAAAATCTTTGCTAACTATAAACTGTCACACAAGGGATTAATATCTAGACTATATAAAGAACTACAAAAATTAAACACCCCTCCAAATTTATCATATAATTGACAATTGGGCTAATAAACCGAATCAACCGTTTTCAAAAGAAGAGGTAAAAATGACAAATAACTATTTGGAAGTGTTCTGACATCCTTAGGAATTAGAGAAATGCAAATTAAAACTGCTTTGAGATTCTATTTCACCCTGGTAAGAACTGCCATCATCAAGAAAACAAAGGATAACAAATGCTGGTGAGGGTATCAGGTAAAGAAACCCTTATACACTGCTGGCAGGAATGTAAACTGGAACAACCAGTTTAAGGAAGCAAGTGTGGAGGAAGCAAGTGTGGAGGTTTCTAAAAAAGAAAGACTCTAAGCATAAAACTATCATATGATTCAGCATATACCCAAGGGACTTAAAGTCAATGTACAACAAAACACCTGTACACCCATGCTTACTAATGCACTATTCACAACAGTCCAGAAATACCAATAGCCTTCACATCCATCAAGAGATAAATGAATAAAGAAAATATGGTACATATATACAATGGAAATTTATTTAGCCATAAAGGAATACAAAAACATGGCATTTCTTACAAGAAAAGGGATGCAACTGGAAATCATTATGTTAAGCAAAATAAGCCAGATTCAAAAAGAGAAATGTTTTATGTTTTCTCTCTATGTAAACTCCAGATTAAAATTTGTGAGTGTGTGTGTGTGTGTGTGTGCGCACACACACACACACACACACGCTTCATGAAAAGAGAAACAGACCATGAAAAGGAGGAAGAAATCTTAGTAGGAGGAGAGTGTGTTGGATAGCTTTTGTTAACTTGACACAAACTAGAGAAGCACAGAAAGAGGGAACCTCAGTTGAGGAATAGCCTCCATCTGATTGGCCTGTGGGCATATCTGTAGGGATTTTTTAAAATTAATCTTTGAAGAGACAGAATAGTCAATCTCCCAAAGGCCTATATGTGCTGAATACTATGGCTCGGTCTCAGTCCATGGAGAAAAAGGAGAATTATTAGAGGACACATAAGCCTAGTGCGAGATTTTCTAGTTAATGGAGGAATGCCCTTGAATAGGACATTTGAGATTCCATCCCTTCTCCTATTCTCTTTTTCATGTCTTGGCCATAATGTGTGATGCTTGATTCCCCAATATGGTCCTTATCATGCCATATTGCCACACCACAGGCCTCAAAACAACAGGATCATTTTTCCACAGACGGAAACCTCCCAAACTATGATCCAAAATAAACCTATTAATTTTTAAGTTGATTATTTCAGATATTTTGTTACAGTGATAGAAAGGATATAAACTATATCAATCTGCCTATCTATCTATATATAGATATAGTGATTGAAAGCATAAAACTATATATGTGTATTGATCTAGTGACAGCAGGTAGGTTATGTCCATCCACTTAAGGACAATCCCTCAAAAGCTTAACAGCCCCTTGGTGGGAATGAGGAATTCAGAAGACAGTTTAGAAAGCATATAACACATTTATATTTGTTTTGTGCTCATAATGTACAGTAGTTATACAACAACCTTGAAAGAGAGATAGCTATTATAATGTCAACAAAATGTCCTAGTTTGTTTCTCCATCGCTATGACAAAACACTCTGACCAATATGAACTTGGGGAGGAAAGCTTACATCTTTCAGGGCACAGTTCATCAGGGAACCCAACGTAGGAACTCAGGGTAGGAACTTAGAGGCAGGAGCTGGAGCACAGGCCAATGGAGGAATACTGCTTACTGTCTTGCTCCCCTGGCCCCTGCTCAGCCTGCTTTCTTATGCAACACAGGACCACCTGCCCAGGGGGTGGCACCACCCACAGTGGCCTGGGCCTTCCCACATTACTCAATAATCAAGAAGATGACCCACAGACAAGGCCACAGGCCAGTCCTATGGTGTCAATTCTCCAGTTGAGTCTCCCTCAACCCAGGTGTGCAAGTTGACACTAAAGCTATCCACCACACATTTTAATCACCTGAACAAACAAACTGACTCTTAAGTTTTTAAGAGTGGGCCAGAACTCAGAAGACACTAGTTCCTCTATTATCTACTAGAACTGACTGTCTCCCAGAACTCTTGTCCCCTCTACCTGTGCAGAAAGAGCTGTCTGTGTCTTCACCCAGTACCAATGTAACTGACCCTGGAACCCTGTTTCTCCCACTCTATACCAGCTCTTCCTTTAGTCCACATGCATAATTTATTCAAAATGGTTTCTTTGGCTTCACTGGGGAAATACAAGTTTAAATTCAGACCCACCCTTAACCTTAACAAACCTCTGGTTCTTTTCATCCCTAGTTCACACACTGATCCAAGGTTATGGGAACTTCCCAGGTTCACAATGTGTGGGTACTCTGCTTGCAGGGCTTTGATATGTTAATTCTCAAGCACACCCACATTCATTATCTTTTTGGGTAGAGTAACAAACTGAGGTTGCCAAGGAGACATCATGGTCATCAGACCCAAAAGCACAAGGTTTACTGAGGTTAATTAAAAGTCATTAGTCCAGATAATGTTCATTAATAAAAGTCATTTCTACAAACAGACAATGAAGGCACAGCAACTTTTACTTTACAAATATTCTACAAACAGAACGTTACAAGTAGCCTAGCAAAGACATTCTATTAATGGGAAGTCTTTGTGCTTCTTACTTTTTGTCCAGTGTGCTTATCCCTTAAATCTTATTCATGTAGACCAGAGAAATGGCTCAGTGGGTAAGGATACTGGCAGCCAAGTTGAACAGTCCAAGTTCAATCCCCAGGAACCATATAGTGGAAGGAATGAACTGACACCCAAAAAGTTGCCCTCTGACCTCTACATGCGGGCTATGGTGCATACATGCTCCCCAGACATAAAATATATAAATTCAAAAAAAAAATTTTTTAATTTATTCATCTGGGCCAGGTGTGGTGGTACAGGCCTTTGATCTCAGCACTCTAGAAGCAGAGGCAGGCAAATCTCTATGAGCTTGAGGCCAGCCTGTTCTACATAGTGAGCGAGTTCCAGGCCAGCCAGGGCTACAGTTACATAGTAAGACCCTATCAAAAAAACAAACAAAAAACCCAAAACAAACAAAAAACAACAAAAAAGTACTCATCTGGTCATAGAACAGTGTTATAGAAAATTTTTATAAAATCAGTCTTTAATAAACAATGCAGAGAAAAACAATATACTTGACTTGTACCTTTTGGGACCACTCAAAAAGTTAGCTATAATTCAATACAATAATAATTTTAGGGTAATAAAATAAGTTGGAAAATGAAATAAGACATGATAAATGGGTAAGCCTATTTTAGAAAATGTTATGAATCAGGAAGACAACAGATCTCCATATATTGCCAAGTTTTGAGTGCTCATTTTTAAACTCACTTTGTACCTGTCATATCTAAGCTCATTAATTTAATTCTATTGTCTGTTTCTTAGTGATGTTAGCAAGATAAGGCAGGTGCTTTAAAGTGCTTGAGCACAGCTTATTAATTACTTTAAAAGTAAATATTCCATTTTTTGAACTTTCATAAGGAGATAGGCAAAAAGCATGGGAATATCAGCTAAAGGTTACCGAAAGAACTGAAAACTAAAGTCAAGGAGCAGGAGCAGGAGTATGCTTTAAAACTTATCTTGGGCTTTCAAAGACAACCACGATACTTTCCTAAAGTGTGATATGTAAAATAATGTTTCTTTGTTTCTGACTCATTCCAACAAATCATAAAAAAGCCAGTTAAGACAGCAATGAACAGAATGCTTACAGGTTTGTATCGCAGGGCATCTCTGTAGGATCCAAACAAAGCAGCCTGTGCCCTCAGAAAGGCCCTAGCCACTCCATCACCGGTAGCGGTAGACTGCTTCTTCAGTTTATTTTTCAAGGCCGAGACCTGTATGACAGACAGGAACAGTTAAATTAACACCTCAGAAATTGGTACAGCGAGGTACGAACCCAATCAGCAGGCAACGCACAGAGTCTGCAGGTCAGCCAAAAATCCATCCTCCTCCCTGATAGCTTATCTTTTTTAACTGCGCAGAGCACCTGCTGGTCTGTTAATTGAAAGGAAAGCAGGAGAGGATAGTAATGTGCTAATGCAAATTGGTTTATGCTCTCTTTTTTTCCCAAGGCCTCTTGACATAAATAAGCTTTAATTATTTTAGAGCAAACTGCTTGTGAGCCACTTTTCTGAAGACTTTTAGCAATTACAGCATGTGTCTACTTATTCTGAGATGCTGGTTCAGTACTGATCATTTCTGCTATGTATGGTTATTTGTCACGAGTCCTTGAAGATCCTTTACAATTTTATTTTCTTTTTGGACATCTTATTTGGTAAGCAATTTTCTCATTGTGAACAGACTTTTTATCATGACCAGCGACAGAAAAATTGATAAAGATAAGCAGACTATTTCATGAATGTAGAAATATGTCATGTAAATGTTATATATTATCTCTAATTTTCACCACTCTCTCCCAAGAAAATCATTCATATGCCTATTTACAAATAAAAAAAAATTGAGCCCAACAACACAAATTAATTTGTAATTTGCTTGGTGGCTAATGAGAGGTAAAGTTGTGATAAACCCAATGTGTCCAGTGTTTCTCATTACCACATGCTGGGCTGGAGTTCTATTTATAACTTTTAAATCAGTGATCAGAACAAAATATTAATGTTTTCAAAACAAGGGAAACTTTAGGAATCTATAAAATTTTAAAAGGTAGTTAAATTAGTTACAACATTTAATACATATTCCATCTTTCAATTTTAGAAACAGATCCGTGAATGGCCCTTAATTGGACTGATTTTTTTGTTGTTGTTTTTTTTTTTTTTTTGAGACAGGGTCTCCCTGTAGTCCCAGCTGTTCTGGAACTCACTAGGTAGACCAGGCTGGCCTTGAATTCTCAGAGATCCGTCTGCCTCTGCTTCCCAAGTGCTGGGATTAAAGGTGTGCGCCACCAAGTCCGGCCACATGCCCAGCAATTAGACTGATTTATAAGTTAAATCATACCCAGGATGTTAAAGCTTTTCTATTCATTTAACTACTTCCACACAAAATAGGAAACTATAGTCTGTACAATAAAAATAAAAATTCTCACATATATTCCTTACTAATATTTTAAATAGAAACGTGAAATTGTGTCACAATCCTGTTTTCTTATGAAAAAAAAAAAAAACTAATGAGACAAATTCTAACTGAACTGCTCCCTCAACTGGCATATTCTTATCTATATGAAACTACTAGATAATAAATTCATGCCATTTATCCTTTACACATATGCAAAAGGAATATTTTTATTTTTATGCAAGTAGTCCTAACTAGTTTTATAGATGATGACTGTAATTGAAGTGTCAACCTAATTAACAACTCAACTTTGAATAATGCTAATGAGATATGAACACAGCATCAGAGGAAAGACCAGCTCTACAGGTGATAAACCTTCACAGTAGTGACATTTTCCACAGTAAAGTCACAGTTACTATGATCTGATCAAAGAAACAGACCCCCATTGGGTCTAATTATAACTATAGTTTTGAAAAATTATTGAGTTATGATGTTCGCAATCTATACAGAAAGGCTTTGCAGTACAGGTTTCTCCCCATAGCTGGGATCTTTTCAATTTATATCCAAGCTCACAGATTCAGATAAAAGTTTAGACCCTAATTCATTTAGGCCACAAAGTGCATAAACCAGGATTCATTTAAGAGGAAGTTTTTATTATTATTAAAATCTATCCTCATATGGCTCAGACATTTTTAGGTAATTCACATATTCAAACAATAATACAGTTCAGGAATGCAAAAATAAAACTTCATAATTAATATGTTTATTTTGCTTTGAAATGATTTTTTCTATATTTAAAGAAAAGCTAATGGATATCAGATTCAAAACATGTATTTGATTATTGCCCTACCCACAAAGATTATGAGATAAAGAATATGCTCCCAATTTAAAAAAAAAAAAATCAATGAGCTTCTGTTCAACAGTTTTTAATCAGATTTTTAATAACATTATAAAATCTGAATGATTGTGGAGTTGCTACATTTTCTTTAAAAAAATGAGAAAAAAAAACCTATTTACAAAATCTATGCCTCCTATCTTTGCAAAAGAAACTACTTCAAATTGTTATTTTTAAAAAATGAAATTGAAAATTCACTTCTTTATAAACCAAGGTAACAATATTCTTAGGACAATGATAACATATGTTAATGGACAGTGGTGACAATCTAACCTCAGCCTTCACCATGCAGTGCTTCTGTACAACTGCTACCAGAGCTATCCAGGAAGATTAATCACACTGTCCCAAGCCTTTCCTGACCAAGTGATAAGGTATGCAGCCTTTCCTTCTAAAATTAGTCTCCAGTGATAGTTTATGAGCTTTGTCCCTATCCAAAATAAAAGAACGTACTTGTTCTAGAACCATGTTTTCCAAAAAGACAATCATTAGCCTCATTAGTAAATAAATGTGGCTCATCCAAATTCAGATTTGGTCCCAGTATAAAACAGACTTCATACAAAAAAATCTCATGACAAATGCTTATGTTGATGACATTTTGAAGCAGTTTTTTGAATATGGATGTAAATAAAACATATTCTTAAGTTAATTTCTCCTACTTCTTTTGGTTTGTGAATGAGACTACTGGAGAACGTGTGATGAAATGACCAGCCCTCACTTCTCTCTTGGACAGCACTGTGATCCCACTTCACAGGAATAGGTGAGATTTAAAATTTTCTAGCAAGAAATGAGCTAATTTTTTTTCTTTTGTCTATTTCTATATTACTTTAAGTATATCAAAAAGATTTTTTCCTTGGATTGTTCTAGATTGCTGCAACTGTCTCCAGATCTGAGGTTGTTCCTGATACCCAAAGATGATAAGGGCAACTATTAAATATTTCTGTGTATGAATATGAATGTTCAATAACAGTCTATCAAAATGAAATGTCTTTAAAAATCCATTTTATCAATAAGTACATTAATAGAAAATAGTTGTGTCAAATCTTACTGATTCCACTGGCCTTTGGCTCACTGCAGTAAATGACCATTAATTACCATCACCCACTTCAGTGCTTATTAGTTTTGAGAAGCTTTAATGGTCAAAATGATAGTGTCTCTTCTGTATCTTTTTAAATACCTCCTCTAGGAAACAACATTTTCTGTTTTAGTCCCAGGCTTGTACATTTAGGTACAAGCCTGTTAATATGTGGTTTCTAGCAAGTCTCTATTGGAGAACCGAAATAACAATTTTTAACTTTTGTTTAATAAAAAAGCATTTGGCAGTCTTCTATGGTAGAATACAATGTTTCTTATATGCTGAAATTATCCAATCCAATAATTGACCAATTATACAAATATGATGTCATCACAATTACTTCCTTCCATAGGCATTTTAAAATCAAGACAGAACACTGCTCTTATCCCCCACATACTAGAGTTTGGATCTGAAATGTCCTCCAAAGACTCATGTGTTAAAGGCCCTGAACCAGCTTGTGCTGGTGTTAGCCCCAAAGCAATGGTGCTTATCAACGATGAACCAAACCAAACTTCCCTTATATGCTGTTTATCACAAGGATCTTAAAACAGTGACAGGAAGCTGACACTTAGCCTCAAGTTCAAGGTCATGTCAATGTCACTTCCATTGCCAGTTTCTCCAAAAGGAACATTATGGTCTTCCCAGCATTTCACCTTTTCTCTTCCTCAAATGCAACACATTCAGGAGGCCTAACTGTGCCAACTCTGATACGCACTTTTAAGTCTCTCCATTTTTCTCTATTTGTTTTTCTTCACCAGGATCAAATGATCCTTATTATTCACCTTAACCACTTTAAACTGCCTCCTAATCAGTCTTTCCTCTTCTTAAACAGCAGTCTTCAAACCCAGACCTAAAGTGGACTGCATTATTACTCTGAATAAAATCTATGCAGAATTTTCAAAACAATCTCAAAGTCCATTCAAGAACTCCAGATCATTTATAATCATGTTGGCCGTCTCCACACAACTCCTTTGTTCATCAAACTATAGCTAGAGGCTTCTTTCTGTTTGTTGAAGTCATAGATACTCTTTTCTTCCTTCTACTCTGCTTGGCTATTTCTGACTCATCCTGTACAGAAATTCACAATGAATGTCTTTAGTTATGCTATAGAAGGCCTATCTGAGTTTTTGTGCCCTGGTAAGAATGACATTTAAGCTTGGCTAAGATTATTTGCACTTTAATTTACTGGTAGCAGACGCTGTCTGTCTACAACATCCATTCTCCCTTTTTATGGTTATAGGAGTCCTAAGTTCTGACTGGTGCATGCTAACCTAGCTATTTCCCTTGGGACTTGGTGTAAGATCAGCAAAGAGGAGTACCTTCCCTGTATTTCTCCCTTTTTTGGAAGCAAAATAAACAGTGAACAGTGGAGCTGGTGCCTTAAATCTGGAGGTCAATGATGTGAGTTGAAAAAGAAAGTTGCCCCACAGCTCTGGACAACTTTTCTCTCTCTCAACCATTAAGCGATAAATATTTTGACTGAAGAATGTTTAATTCTCTCTGTATGGCATTTTAGCCAGTATTCTAATTTGTTTATCATGTAAAGTGGAAACAAATAGTATACCAGAAGAATCTATATGTTATATGAAATAAAAATATACAGGAAGCTTCTGGCTTCCAGAGTTGTCTCATGCTGGTGCTCCTGAAATCCAACACTGAATGCAACTGATACATCATTAGGTTCCTGTCAGGCCGTAAAAGTAAGTGTTCATATTAAGCCAGACAAGGAGAACACTGAGCTCTCAAAACTCAAAACTTTGTATCACTACATAAGGCAATTCCTTGAGGAACCACAGAGGCAAATGCTTTATTTACTTTAGTTTCCTTATATCCAAGCCTAGAACAGGCCTCATTTTCCCTGT